AGTCACATCAACAGAGACTGTACTGCACTGTGGGAAAAATAGGAAAGTCTATGTATTAAGGCAATATGTTTTTTTTTTGTTTGTTTTGTTTTTTTTAAATTCAGCATAGAAATTGCAATGAACTGCGTATTTTTTTTCTGTCAAGTTCTGAAATATTCTACTGTACAAAGTAAAGTTCCTGATCACATTCCAATCTATCCCATATTCTTCATGCTGAAATACAGTGGAGCATCACTATACCACCAGCCCACCAAGATGGCAGCACATGGCAGCTCACAGCCCAGCAGGAGCTGCAAAATGAGATCAGTGATCCCAAGTCCCCAACTCAGGCCCTCCATCATTCCTCCCCTTGCAATTTCCACCTCTCCTTTATAAGAAAAAAAAAAAAAGACACATTTACATGACTCCCGAAAGGAGCTCTATAGCAAGGCTCGACTGTATAAAGATACAAAAAGTCATTAAAATTCCCAAAATCCAAAGAAGTAAAATGTAATAAAAATAAGTACATGTGGTGTGATAAACCAGGACTGACATAGCAATAATTTGCTACATTTCTCAAAAGTGCTAACCCATTTTAGCTTCAAAGAGCTCAAGAGCTCATACAAATTGCTACCACAGTGTAAAACTGAGTCTTTTGAAAAATCTAAAACCCGGCTTGACTGTAGAAAATGTATTATATCAGTTTCTAATTTACATAGTATTTTTATTTAGGCACACAAAAATAAATATAGACAGTCAAAGGCTTCATTAAGTCTTTAGAAAGTTATAATTAAGTGATAAACATCACTTTTTTATTTATTTTACAGCTGCATCTCCCTTACTTCATCTTCAGGCTTCTGCAGAAGTTACTTAGAGGGTAAGGATGAGCTCTCTGTTAAGAAAAGGTAACTTGGGAAACTACTGGCTATGAAGACAATCCATCAGAAACATCAGTGTTGCTTGGTCTGCACTGTTTGCTGGTGAAGCAGCCCCCCAGTAAGGGGGCACAGCCGGGCCCAAAGGCAGTGCTGAGGTGGTAGCAGCACCTCTCCCTGAGGAAAGCATTTCTATCTCAGCGTGAAGCTCAGAGAAAGGCTTCTTCCCTAATCAAATCTGGAAGGATTTCAAGCTGTCTTCCTCAAAAAGAGCTTCTATTCATCTCAGCAACCCTCACTGCTGCACTCATAGTTACACGAGCTCTTCGTTAGGTGAAAGCATTCTTTTAGCACATTTTATGACTCTGCTTTCAGAATGCCTGTGGTACCTCCACTGACCTCTCTAGAGGAAGTGCTTGGGGAAGTATAAAAGCCAGTGCACTTAAGATGGTGCATTTCCGGTGGTGCTCTATGCTCTCAGCCCTAGCTCACAATGAGAAGCAGGGCACAGCTCAGGTTGGACACCTGGCAGGCTCTGATCAGTCATGAGCCTAGGAATCAACCGCAACTTTTCTTGGTCTTGCTTGAAGAAACAAGGAGTTGGTGTGCCTGAACGTTCAGCTCCAGCACAGAAGCTCCCAGTAGCTGTGCTAGGATTAGGACAGGATTAGGCACAAGCTAAGGTTGTTGATGTGTGGTGATTGAAGGCATTCAGCACATAAAAATTCATCAAGTTCATTCCCCTTCCTTGCAACAAATGGAAAAACTCCACAAACAAAACCAAGCAGCATAACTTTTATTTGGTGTTACAACAGGCAGTGCCCTTGAGTTGGGGCACCGAGTTCTACTGTTTGTGATTTTTCTTTTTAAAATCCAAACAGTTCTTCTGTTCAGACAACTCCATGTGCTTTCTATATACACGCTGTGAGCCCTGTGGTCAGCCTGTCCAGTTAACACTCAAAGTATCTGTCAAGGCAATACATTATTTCATCTTTGCTATCATCAAGAAATCAAAACAAAAAATTCCCCCTTCATCTGACCAATTAGATGTACTGTACATACCTGTTCCAAAAATCAACGTATTCAGACAAATTTCTAATTTAATGCACTGTCATTCAAGTCAAAAAGCTGTACATCTAAGTATCCACACAATCGTACATCCCTAATGATTCTTCTTTACACCTTTTCCTTTTTTAGGCATCTGCTCTTAAAAAGGAATAAAGAAATCGCCCTGCAGCTCTGTATTTCTTTAGAACAAAACATTATATACTACATTGAAAAATAATTTTATCAAAACCAGATTCAAAGCATGGCTGTGTACAATTTTCAGCTAACGGTTCATGATGAAATTGCACTTTGCAGAGAGAATAAAATTAAAAACTGAAATGACATCATTTCCTTTCACAGGAGACCGCCTCTTCCGCGTTCTTTTTCCGTGAGTGTTTGTATTTGTCTACATACGCTCTCACTAGATTGGCCACTTTTGCAGAATTAACTTCTCCACTCTTGCTATGACAAACCTACAACAGTTTTAAAGAAAAAAAAAAAAAGCTTGAAATAGTTGCAATCAGCCATCACATGCACAGTATTTTCCCAGCACCCCAGGGCTTCTGCATCTCAGTGTAACTTTGGAAAGTGCCAAAACTTCACCAGTAACTATTTCCCAATTCCTGTGAACTCTTCCAAACAATAAAGTTAGTTCTGATCCCATAGCTGGACAAGCTCATGTGAATGGAGAAAGGTAATTTTGCTTTTCCTGTTCTCCCTTGCACCAACTACAAGTTGCTCCCCCATGGCCAGAAAATCCAACCCAAGCCAACCTCAATTGGAACACACGTATTTCATGCTTTATTAATAGATAACTTACTTTATCTACAGCTTTCCGCACAATTTCTTTATATTCTTCCTTAGTGATGTCTTTATTTTGGTAGAAAGGCTTAATAGCTAGTTTGACTTCTTGTGCTGCTTTTTCTTGAATTAGCAATTTCTGACAAAAAAAAACAACCACAAACTGGAGTATTATTTTTTCAATGCCGACATACGAGTTTATCAATCACAACATTTATCAGACAGAAGTTATGATAGAGGACTAAGAAACTATGCTCCCCTTACTCAAATTCCAGCACTTGTGAGAGCTGCCTGTGTTTATTAAGAATGGAACGCTGTCCCACAGCAATTACAGTAATATTTCTAATAGAGATGCTTTAAATAAGACTGCATTACAAGGAGACAGCTGCTGGTTGGTTATAGCCCAGAGCTGTCACAGAGTATCACACAGATGACAGGATGAGGTGTATTAAGGGATACACATAGGAAGTGCTACCATAGTTTCAGTGCATAAAAAAATTTTTATATATGCATATTACACATGCATGTATGTAGATATATACATATAGACACTGTGAACTTGCCTGGTCCTTCTTCGAGCTATCTGCACTGGCTTCCACTGTTACACTTGCTTTGTTTTCTCCCAGTTTTACAGTTGCATTAGAGCCCTTGATGTGACTCGATGACGTCGCATTGCCAGAAGTTGGTCCCTGAACAGTTCCCACATTTCCCAGAACTGCTGCTGGAACAGGCAAGGCTGGAGTGCTCATGTTATTACTTGCATGAGCAGCATTTGGAACACCCTGTTTTTAAAAAGTTATTGGTAGTTAAAACATTCTCATACTGAAGGATAATGTACCTTTCTACCTGTTTCAGCAGCTACATCAATATCATATGCTTTGGTTCATCAAGTCATTTCCACACTTCATTATTCTGGAAAATATGTAAATAATATCAAATCTACTCAAAAGAAAAAAAGTAAAACTGGAAAAGTAAGGCAGCCACCACATTACTGCTAGAGTAGCTAGATTCTGGCTTCAATGGGGAACCCAGTGACAAAATATCCTGCAAACAGGCATGAATGGCCTTAGTGCATTTTGAAGGAACCTTATGGCTACAGAACCTCCTTACTTGTCATTGGAGAAAAGGAGGTTCCTATTTTGTACATGAGATTAACATTAAAAAACATCATGCCCAGTGAGGCTGTGGGCGCCCCATCCCCGGAAGCTCTCAAGGCCAGGCTGGATGGGGCTTTGAGCAACCTGGTCTAAAGGGAGGCGTCCCTGCCTACAGCAGGGGGTTGGAACTACATGATCAACCTGAACCATTCTATGATTCTATGACTCTATGATAATGATGCTGCTTTGAAAATATTTATTTTTGTGTTCATTACCAGCTTGAACTTCTACAGGAATTTCAAACGTGTCAGCACCTATTGTCTACTCAAGGCTAGAGACAAAATGCTGCTCCTTGAAGCACCTGTATCTGTTCTTAAGGAAAAGCTATTTTCTATACATTTCCAGACACCACCAAAGGGCACCACGAGCACTGCTGATAGAGAACAGCAATAGATATACCCATGGCTTTCCTGACAAATGCCTGTATGTTGGGGCAATACACAATCTTTACAGAGCAGTGCCTACTGCTTCACTAGATACTAAGTTTCACGGTGGTTCACAAAACGCATTCTGGCTTCTTGTGTTTTAGTGATTAAGTGTACTGAATTTCCAACTGTGGAAATATTTTAATTACAGACAGTACAAATGAAACCAACAAGTAATCTACAGGCATTTTAGTTCAAATAGCACCTTGCTGTTTCACTGTTCAAGCATCTCATATGGCATGTAACCCCACTCAGTATTTCCCATGGAACTTTTCTTCCTGAATACTTGAGTGGTTAACAGCAGCATTCTTTTAACATTATTATGTTAAGAATTTATCAATACATCTCAAATTTTCAGGTATTAATGAAAACAGGTTTAGAAATTATTGTTCTAGAATATCTTTTTCTATCTGTAATGCAGGGCAAAGCATTTTCGGTTAGAGCAGGTGGCCTGCAACCACCTGAAGGGAAGGACAAACATCAGTGAAGCCCTTAAGAACCCCATATATGACAAAGACCTGGTGTTACTTACATCTACTTCCACGGCCATTCACTGTCTTGGAAGCTGTTCATTTTTCCTTTCTCTGATACAAAAGCTCTTAATATAAAAAGCTGGCTACAAGAGGACTTAACATACACAAAGGATGTTTTAAGTTATCTTGGAAGGCACAAAAAGACTGTCTGATCTGCCCAAGCACTGCAGAATTTTTAAAACTTGAGTAATAAAGCAAAAGTTAGGTCTTAAACAGGGCACCCAGCACCAGGACAATCTTGCAGGAAGTAAAGTAAAACCTACCAAAGAAAGCCTGAAAATTACTATGAACAAAAAGGCTCAAACGATTAAACAGAACAGAAAATGTGGCAGTGGGGGTGGCTGAGCTGCTGAGACAGTGACAGTTGGAGAATGGAAGCGTGGAACAAATCAATGCCATGAAGTACTTGATAACTTCCCTCTGCTCATACAACAAATCAAGGGATAAGAATTGCAACAAAGGGGTCGAGGTCACTTTCTACACAATGCAGAAAGGGGATTCAAGCATCTCTCAAAGCTTGAAATACTGCCTTTGAAGGGGAAAATTTGAAACTGATTATTTCCAAAACTAAGGAGAAAAAGGTAGCAGACAATAAGAAGAATTGTCAGTGTTCCATTACCACCTGGAACATCTCACTACCACAAACAAAACAATTGTGGTGCTGTGTATTATTATCTAAAAGCTACAGTCCCCTAACAACTCAAATTCTCATGGATACTTCTACTTAAAATCTGATGTGGAGTGAGAGAAGACAGGCAAGAGAGAAAGAAACTGCAAGTATAAGTTTACCAAGGAGGTAGCATTAAATTTAAGAAACCCTTAAGTATGTTACTTCAATCCATGGCTTCTGATAAAGCATACCTGCAATTGTTTTCCATCTTGCTGTGAAGCAATGTAGCTGACTTGTTGAGATGGTGGGGGAGGAGGTGGAGGCGGAGGTAATCCCTGAGACAAATTTGTGGGAGCAGCTACCTGTATGAGAGGCACTCCGGTATGGAGATGGATGGGCACTGGAGGGGGGATGTTAAAAGGATTTCGTTGCATATTCATCATAGGAGGAGGGACACCCACGGGATATGGAAACATATTCATAGGCTGGTGCTGTGCATTCACTTGCGGCATTACATTCATTTGTTGCTGCATCATATTTACTGGTAACTGAGAACCATCACTTTGCTGGTTGCCTTGGTCTTTGAGGTTTGGATCTACCAGATGAAAAAAAAAAAAGACAGTATATGAAGTAGAAAATCCGTATTTTATAAAGTAAAACGTGGAACTAGGTGTCTGAAATCTTCATTGAGTATAAAGCTTCGAAAAGAGTTTGAATATTTCAAAGATAGTGCATCACATTACTATACAGCACTCATCAGACACATCACTGGGCTAAGTGCTAGTTTCTGATTTTTAAAAAAGGTCACCTTATTATGCAGGTCTGCATTTTGAATTTCCATGACTCTAATTGTTCCCATAGCACAGCCAATACATTATTCCATCACAATGAAACAAAAATCCTCCCCAAAAGAACAGAAAGACAACAGAACTTGTTTAGTTTTCATGCTATTGGATACGTTACATTTTGCTCTCCTTTGTCCATGCACTCACTGTCAACCAATTTTGAAAGATGTCAATATTCAGAAAATTATTAAAAAGCCCTGTGATGGCACAACAGGTAAAGCCTCGAAGTAAAAATAACCTCTTGGGGGTGACACTCTTAAAAATGACTTTAGTATTTCAACCTTACCTTCAACGGAAGATAAAAAGTTACAGTGTAAGGTATAAGCAGTGAGCCTTTTAAAAAAGTCAAGCAGCTAGGTCTGAGCTATAGACAAGGGATTATAAATCTAGGTGCATTTCTCATTCCCTCAGAATCCCTTCCTTGAGGAATCCTTTCAGCTCATGCAAAGGGATCAGCATTTAAGCCCTCAGGCTTCACTCTGGTCCAATTCTCCTTATACAAGGCCAGCTACAGCACGTTGCCCAGGACCAAGTCTGTTTTGTCCAGTTGTGAGAGAGTATTCTCATCTGAAGCTCAGATTCATGAAAAAATATTAGCATGACTATCCTAAACTATGGAAAATAACGTCTGCAAAATCACGACACTTGCAATTAAAGGTTTGATATATTTTCCTGTAGCAAACTGAAGGTTGACAAAGTTCAAAATAAAGTCTCAAAATAAGACGCCTTTGATGCAGTTGCCTCTGAAAAGAACACCACTGCTGGCATGTAAGATAAAAATGGATAAAGACAAAAGGCAAAGCCACATGACAATAGGAAAGGGAAAGCGTAGTTGCCTTCAGAGCTGGACTTTGTGATTTTTTTTAAATACAGTTTACACCTACCACTTACTTCAGAACATTAATGATCTGTGGATAATTTATTAGCAGGCAGATGCTAAAAGTAACCATGAAGAGGATGTTTTTCTCTTCAGCCAAGAAGATTTAAAGTTGTACTCTTTAGATGCCTAGTCTGTAAGCAACACAAAAATTCTGACTTCGAACAAAATCAAAAAGGCATCAAAATCCTGGTAAAACACTGTAAGTCCATATTCCACATTGCAAAATTACTATGAATTACTATGAATTCACCCCCAATTTTGAAGAACTAATCAACTAACAGAACAACATGACTAGAATTTTACTCATCTACTGCATCTATTACTAAGCTTTGTATGAAAACTGCGTGTACCTTGTTCAAGTGTCTCTTCTTCTTGTCTAGCTCCCCATCCAGACTGTGGGCTTGATGAGTTTCGTCCTCTTCTTGAGTAATAATTCTGCACGTCAGCAGGTAAAGTCTTTCTTACAGCCCAGCTGGATGCAGACGTCCACCCAGATCTATCAGCAGGCGTATCAAAAGAATCCTGTTCATTCTTACGCTTGTATGGCTGCTGCTCTGAGAACCTTGTAGCTTCATTCCCAGAACCATTCGAGTTCCCTGAGAGAGGTTTTCTACTCTGCCAGTGATTTTCACTCTGGTCTCCATATGTGAAACCACCTCTTCCACGCCCACCTCTGCCACGATGACCTCTCCCCCTATTTGGAAACCAACCTGAACCAAAGTTTTTATTCCAAGACTGTCCTGAATTATCATGTCTGCTGTCTTCCCAATGAGGTCTGTCTCTGTTCTTGACCTCAGGAATGGATTTTATCCTTTCCATTACCCAGTCTGGACAATCATTCCTCCGCTTGTCTGGAGAACACTGAGCATCACTGGTTTTTTCCATATTGTCCTTCTCCTTTAGACTTTCATTCTGTTTCTCTTGATCACTTCTTCTGTATCGATCATTCCCTCTGGGACTCCTCCAGTTGTCATTCGCCCATCTGTCTTTCCAACGAGGTGAATGACCATCCCTCTCATTTCTAGAGAATGAAGAACCTTTATTTCTCGTCCTTGACTGTGATCTTGACCTAGATCGTGACCGGGACCTGGACCGGGACCTAGACCATCTTCTATTTCTTCTCTCTCTGTCACGATCTCTTCTCTGACAATCTCTATCGCTGCTTCGAGATCTAGATTTTTGTCTCGGAGATGAATCCCTTGTTCTTGACCGAGAAGATGACCTCCTGCTTTCCTTGACAGTTTCCCTCTTGGGAGATCGAGATGGTGTTTTTCTCTCATCTTTGAGCGTCTCTCTTTTTGGAGACTGAGATAAGGATCTCCTTCCCTCCCCAACAGTTTCCTTCTTGGGTGATCTGGAACTCCTCTCCCTGGTCATCTCCCTTTTAGGAGATGGTGACTGAGATTTCCTGCCGTCTTTCCTAGAAGGAGACCAAGTTGTTGATGGTGAATGAAATCGAGACCGTCTCGTTCGAGTCTTTTTGTCCTTTTTGGGTTCTGACTGACACTCTCCTTCTTGGTGAATAGTTTCATCTTTTTCATCAGACAATCCTGAAACTGATGCAGAGTTTGCTGTATCACACTGTAAGGAATCCATCTTTCCCTGCTCTATGCTTTCAGCTGGTGGCAACTGTTCAATCTGAGGTTCATTCTGGTCACTGCAAAATGAGTCACAATCCATTGGTATCATTTCATTGTTATCCTCACCAAAATGCTTATGTTCAGCATTTATTGTCAGTGACTCTGAAGTTCTGTTCTCTTCACCCTCTGGCACAGGGCTTTCTTTTAAGGCTTGCTCTGATGCATCTGTAGAAGTATTGCATATTAACCTATCTGGTTCCTCGTCTTTACCACTTTTAAAGTTTTGAGTATTTGTACTTGCACAGTCCAGTACTGTCTTTTCATCTGCCTTAGCATCGATTTCTATGGTTTCTGTATGCTCATGCAGTTTGCTTTTGGGGCTCTCTAATGGCTGATCTTGTTCCAAAGGCTCCGGATGTTGCAGTAATTCATCTTCTGGACCAGTTATTGGTTGATGTATTTTTGTATTTATATTCTCAAGTAATTCTTCCTGAGGACTACACAACGTCTCGTGTAAAGTTTCAAATGTTGCATGGTCACACAGTTTATCTCTGGGACTAGACACTGTTTCCATTTGTTCAAGAGTACTTTTACAGGCATCCTGATTCTCGAGTTCTATGTTTTTTTGATTAAGATCTTTTATTCCAAATTCCTGACTTTCTCCTCCTGAAGTCAATACTGTAGATTCTTGGACAGAAAAACTTACATCTCCATTGCCTGAAGTATCTTCCTCACATTCTCCTGTAGTTTCCTCAATCTCTGCATGCTCATTACAGCTTTCTAATCCATTAGCAGATTCTGTTTCTGCATCATTTTTCTGTGAAAGATTTGCACTACTGCTTTCGTTATCTGACTGCTGGTCTTTATCTACTGTTAGAACCACTTCAGACTCAGCATCATCATCCTCCTCCTCCTCCTCCTCCTCCACTGAATCACTGGATGATTTTTCAGAACGTGCAGAACTTCTCAGTTTCTTTTTAGCCAGAGCTGTTCGTTGTTTACCTATTCTTTTTGTTTTTCGTTTTGGGAGAACATTCTCTGATTCTGAAGAGCATTTATTCAGAGGTGGATTATTGCCATCAGGGGCACTGCACCCAGAACTGCTTGACCAAGGTGAGCTCCGAGACTGACTCAGAGTCTCGTTTTTGGTGTTCCGTGCAGACCTTCTTCTAGGAGTAGCATTAACAGACTTCCTTCTACCTCCCCTAGTGCCAGATGAACCTGATGCTTGCTTTTTCTCTTCTCCTTCTTGGGCACATGCAACAGCATATCCTTTCCCTAAAGATTCTAATAAAAGCAGAATGTCTTAATGCTTGGTAATAAACAGTTACACAAATACAATTAAGACAATAAAATTAACTGATATTATAAAATAATACAACATACAATACAGTATGAAATGCTGCCACAACTTAACTAGCTAAAATCAAGTCCGCCCCACCCCAGAGCAGACTCTCTGTAAAGAACAGAATAACAAAAAACAAATACTAGGCACCAGGAAATGCACTTCAGAAACAGCACTGACATCGCTATATAGACAATAATGGTATTCACAATTAAACCACTGCTGATAAAGCAAGAATGATATTCAAATATGGTCAGCATTTAAACCATTACAAAAGTAAGGAAGTAAATATCTGATATTCTTAGCATATAGCAATTCTCATCATTCTTGTGTGCAGGCCTGGTTGTCAGTGAAGCCTCAATATTATGGAAGTGAAGCTCAATACTACAGAAGAGAAACTCAGTACTAGAGTAAGATTTTCAGACAACTGTCAGGGACAATCACATGGGAAGCACTTGATGAGAAGTACCAATGACGACATACCTCTCTACAAAATCTAATTAGTGACAGTATAAACTCATTCCAAAGTTTTAAGAAAGTCCCTGAACACTCCATGGCAAGCTGGACAAATTCTGCTGCCTTGCAGCACAGGGAATAGAGTGTACATACTCAATATATCTGAAAGCTTATGAGTGACAGCTCCAGAATTTAAGATAAATGATAATTAAGTAAATATAGTTCTGAATTGAGTGTTACATTTAAGTATATTAATTTCTTGAGATATCCATTACTTTGTTTCATACTCTGTGTAGACTCCAGAAATAAAGGATTTGCTCCTTAAATTCATTCTCTTCACAGCTTCATTTTATACACAAACAGTAGACACTTGCTTAGAAAGATTAATTTCAACAGATTTTGCAATTTATCACATCTCACAAATACTGAAATATGTTTTATAAACTACTTAAGAATATATATTAAAAAAACGAGAGGAATAAGACAAAGCATCAAAGCTTAAAAAACACATTTTAAGAAAAGTTTACATATCTATTTTTTTTTCATTTCTTTCTCACTGTTCATCTTTGCAGAAAGTCCCAGTTTTACCCATGTTTCCTCCATTTTCTGCCTCTTTCTTCATCTCACATTACTTGTAAGACAAGAGGTCATTCCCTTCTTCACATACTTGCTTGCCATGCATCTCTACCAGTATCTGTAAAAAGTTAATTTCGCCTTGCTTTTTTCCCTACCATTTTTCCTTTGTGTTTCCTCTCTTATGCTAATATAAAAAAGAACGGGGAAGGAACACTCGCAGAATGTGCCCCACATCCACAGGGGGCATTCTTCACATTCTACACCCACCAGTGGATCCACTGGAGAAATTTGAAGGCTCTGCCCCCTGCATGACCCTTGCTGGCAGGAAGTCTTCAAGTAAAATCTGAAGATTACTTAAAATTTTAGTGTCCACATACTAAAATGCTTCAAGCTTCAACGTTGATGACTGTCTTCCACTCTGTCCACAGCATAAACAATCTATTAAATATCTGAATTCTAGTTTAGGTGTGGCAAAAGCATATTTACAGAAATAAATTTATTTGCTGTCTTTTTAGCCTGGTAATCTTACTTTTCGAAATGTAAAATATCTAACTTCTAACCTAGGTGAGTGAGAAAAGTATTTAAAAATGTAAATTTATAAACATATATCCTTCCCCCCCTCCCCCCCCCCATAAAGATTCAATTTCCTGCTTCTCCTAAAAGACAACATAAGGCATTTACTTTCAAGTTCTTCATTAGCAGTTGACAATATCATCAGTATTTGCAAATCAGTTGCAGAAATTATTAATAATAATTAATCTGTTCGAAACTGTCCAATATTGAAAAGTATTTTGGAGCTTACTTAAACACTCTTCAACTCATAGAAAAACTGATTATTTTTCCCTCTGCTTCTGGGACATGGCAAAGAAGCCTGACAGTGTAAGTGAAAAGGAGAAGGGAAAAATCAAGAGATAGAAGCTACCACACACTCATTACTACTAGAAGCAGAAACAGTTAAGTATCAGTTAAACTGTCAAAAAAGACAGAGGAAGTAATCTATTTTTTTTTACTGGGAAATGAGGAAGTGAAATAAGTACATTTAACAACAATGCAGAATATGAACTAATAAAGCATTTCTTCAATCATCTTCCTACTTAATTCTTCCTCATAATTCACTTCCTTGATTCAAGTATGCCAAAAGAGACCAAAATCTCTTCCATCTTTTTTCCTACTAGTCAAATTAAAGTGACCTAATTTCAAATCCAGAGAAGGTATTATCTCCAGACTTAAAGGAACAGCACTCTTCTGTTTCCACTTAAATTTGTGCAGACAATGAGAAGAGAAGCTACGTTCTAGCTGAGTATGGAGAGACAGGCAATTAAAGCAACTGCAGAAAGGTAATCCCTTCCATATCTTGTCTTCTGCTAAATTTCTGTCACACTGTGGAGCTTCAACACCTTTGCAAGTTTCTGCCCTGTTGAGCTAGCAGACATACTGAAAGAGATCTATACATTGCAGTTTGCAGACTATTCTAGTCAGCCAGGAAATATACCACCCAAATACATCAAGCAACTCAGAATGTATCATAATGCAGTGCCATCTTTAACTTCAAAACATTCTGTTTTCAGCTGCAACTATATCCACTCTGCTTTGAATTTTGAGAATGACATTTTTATCAATACTCCACATTAGCTATAAAGAAAACTTACAAAAAAAAAGTTTACCAAAGTTTTCCAAAGGCCCGATATTTGTTGGAAGAACTGTCCTTGCCACTGTAGTAGAAGTGAGCAGAAAGGTCTCAGCTTCAGCTCCATAAGACACTAAAGGAATTCTGTAAAAGTAAAATCATTAATGTTAGTTGTTAGAGTTATTTGCAGGAGGTTTTGGAAAGAATGCTCAAGGCCATTATGCAAACACAAGGCCTCTACCTCACAGTGTAGAGAGAAACACAAAGCTGACAGAAAACAAAGCTTTCCTTCTTCCAGGCTTACCATGAGGTCTAATCTGGTGAAACAGTTTGAAGAAAATATGTTATGTTAAAGCAATATACACTTAAAGTCAAACAACACTGTAACAAAGAGATTGCTTCAAATTACTAGACTATACTACTGGAAGTAAAATCCTGAATGCTGATGTAGCACTTCAGTGTAAGACCAGCATTTTTTCTGAAGAAACATCAGAGACGGTGTACAAAAATTTAGTTGTAATCTACTACTTTTAAGCTACCATTGAGTTGGAATTAAACTTTCCCTGAGGAAAGTGTGTGAAAAGAAATACATAACTTGTTATTAAAATCTGAAGTGCAGCTTTCAGTTACAATCAAAAATCTCTTATCCGATTTCTGTAGTCTGTTTTATGCCAAAGGCAGAGGTATGCTGTGGAATTAATATCAAAGAGAGCCAGTTTGATCTATTTATATATTTTTTTTTTACTTTAAATCTGTTTTTATAATTCTACTTTAGATTCATGAAGATATCTTTTGGGTATGCTTTAATGCTCATTTATCTGCTCTCTGACAAAAAATTTCTCATGTTCTGTTTCATTTGATAAAATCCCTCTTACTCCTTGTATATGAATTTGTTTACAAACAGTCAGAAAAAGTGCCGGAACCAACCATGAAGGGAAGTCAGAGTCAGACTGACATTAGAACAAACACACCCTGATCTTCAATGATAGAAATGATTTTAAGAGCTCATATACACTGCCTTCTAAATTAAGTGAAAAATATGTTTAAGCTTGCATTTTTATGAAAAGTGATAGATGCTCATGTAAATGGAGTTACTATGGTCATCACAAGGATCAAAGAAAAGCTCTTTACTGGAATGGGCTGCCCAGGGAGGTGGTGGAGTCACCAACCCTGGAGGTGTTCAAGGAACACTTGGACACTGTGTTGAAGGACATGGCTTAGTGAGAGCTATTAGTGATGGGTGGACGGTTGGACTGGGTGATCTTGTGGATCTTTTCCAATCTCAGACACAGAAGAAAATCCATTTACATAAAAAAAAGCATGACATATACCTTTCAACTCTAGCAAGCACTGATGAACAGGACAATTCCAGTTCTTGTCTCTTCTGCCTGATCATTGCATTGACGTCTGTGAATTCTGTACTAAAATACAAATATCATGTCATTTAATAATACCTTTTTACTATTAGAATTCCCTATTTCAATAACTGTTTTTATCAATTGCTAATTTTCAAATTTAGCTGTATTTTCAGAAGCTGTGATGCAAATATACACATATACAGTTTGAAGGGAAAAAAGTCATAGCGAGGATAACAGAAGTCATAAATACACTTTTAGGTGAGAAAATGCAAAATAGGGCACAAAATATGTGTTCTGGAGAGCTGAAAGAAGGGGAAAACTTTGTATCTCTTTAGTATGTATTGCATATTTTCCATTATGGATTTTTCATTTATAAACTGTTGAAAACATACTAACAGTATTCATTTTGAGGTCATATTGTCCAAATAATGTTATTCTGGACTATTCCTCATCTAGCCTTTTTCTCCTTTTAAAAAATATTTCTTGTGCTCCTTAAGTACTAGGTTTATTATGCAAAATTACTTTGTGTACATTGAAACTGTTCCTCCTGGAGCCACCAAACAACAAAAAACACAATTGTTTCTGCTACAAAACAGGAGATTTATTGCCAGCTGTTTTACTAACTGCTGCAGTAATAACAGGACTAGCCCTCTTCTACTCCAGGCTTCAATTTTGCAAGGACTTGAAATATGAGCTAAATTCCTATTAAATCAATGAATCAAGAGCACAATCTTAAATATTTTATGCTGAATACATAGGAGATATTGGGATGTTGATTTAAGTGTACTCATTTTGAAGTGTTTGCAAGTGTTTATCTTTTAACTGCTGATTTCTAACAAAAATAAAAGCAGTAAAACTTCAAAATATTGCAAAGCAGTAATATACAGATAGAAGCAGAAGGAGCTGTAGTATTTACAATACAGTAACTCTAATTGTATTTTGAGCATTGGTATACACTAACCAGTCATTTCTACAGCTAAGAAAGGATTCTTCATTGCTACCACTGGCTGGAAGTGTACTATAGAAACTAGTCCTGAAGCACTCATTCCAGCAGGTTTGTCTTCTGGTCTACAAGAAAACAATAACATGCAAAATGGAATGATTAACATTTAATACATAATCATGCATTGAAATTAAATGTCAGCTACGCTTCAGCTCAGAAAAAACAGGCTCAGTATTAATACCATTTGCCATTACATCAAATGAGAATTTTGAGACTGAAAAGAAGAAATTTAGCATGCACTCTCTGCAAATAAAAATCATTTTTACAGGCTGTTCATAGTAAAATCCTTAGTGTTTCATATAGAAATTATGCATAAGTGAGCCCACTATTTACTGCTTCACAATACCTATTTCTGCTACCTAATGAAGCACAGCAAAGAGTCATAGCACCTTTAGACAGATCCCTTCTGCTCACTACATGCTTGATCTAAAGAAAACATGTGAGTAGCTGGGATTCTTTTTTACCTTTAGATAGAATTAGAAAATTCAAGTTTAATGGTACATCTGTTTACTGCACCCTCACACAGAAAAAAATCCTCACAATCATCTTTATGTCTCAACAGATACCACTTTTCATTTCAGGAGTTAACAATACATAACAAACCACTGTATGCTAGAGCATTGCTTCTTGCACTGTGTTCAGTAAACAGCTTGAATCTGTTGCTGCGCACTGGGCTGGCTACAAAAAAAGCCCTGAACAATAATCCTCCAGACAGCTCCCAGACTGACACACTAATCTACAGTGACCTGCTTTTGCCATTTATCCTATCACCTCAAGGGCTAACGTCAGCTGGAATTTGACTGAGACATTCCTATTCATTCCCTATCATTCGTAATTTAAGATGGAAACTTACAGAAAATATTTACTCCAAAGAAAAATAAACTTTGTAAGACACACATTATTTGTCTCAAGTATGTAGTCATTTTCTACATGCTCTATAAAACTTAAGCACAGAAAGCTAGCTTACAGTACCATTATCCATTTTATCACAGTAAGTCTCTCCTAAAAAGCTGTTTTAAAAATGTTTTAAAGATGCTCTGGTTTTGAGCGTTTGCATTTTCACCTCCATCAGAAAAAAAAAAAAGGTTTCCAACTGTCCAACAGATATTTTCATGAAGTGCAGTTAGTAAATGAGTGCTTCCTTTCAAATATTGAACGCACAGTGGATAATTAAATTAAGCACTGTATGTCCTCCCAAATTTTACTTCTTTATTTAGACTTTCAATAATCTATACTGTGAGACAATGCTACTAACTGGTACAGTAAATCACAGAAGTTAGATACAGAAACACTGATCAATCTTGAAGCCAAATTAATGCTTGATCTACCACCAAGCATCACCCTCCCAGTTCTAAACATTTTCAAATCAATGAAAAGCAAAGTTAACTCTAGCTGGCAACATTAACAAAAATTTTAAATACCTGATTTAGGAGGGGGAGGTTGGAGCTAAAGACAGCCTTATAATTATGGTGGACAAGAATCAGATATGCGTAAGGGACAGCAGCTACAGAATGCTGCATGATATAGTACATGCCCCTGCAATACATGCAACAAGGAAGTAGGCAAGATAAGGACCTGAACAGTTTTTCCTCTCAATTTTTAAACTTCAGGTAAGACAAAACAATGAACACCAACACTCACTCACACTTCAGAGAGATGTAGTGGATGCCCTGTCCCTGGAGACTTTCAGGGCCAGGCTGCACTGGGTTCTGAGCAACCTGATCTAGCTGTGACATCCCTATTCATGGCAGGGGAGTCAGAGAAGGCCTTAAAATCCCTTTGAGTTCTAAAGATTCTACGATTCTAGAATGACCTACAACTACCACAAGCAAACAAATTTACAGGTTAGCTTCCTATGGTCAGGAAAGCACTGATCATTAAGTTGTGTGACAGAACCCTCAAATATTTCTGAAAGGAGGGAAAGCCAGAGCTTTTGTAGCTGCTTAAAAATTCCACTTAGAACATGTATTATAGGCTAAAAATTATGAACAAAAATAAGAAGCCTAGGAAAATTAGCATTCATAGAGAAGTCTCCTATTAAAAAATTCAATTTAATGCAAACTAGAACGTCCATGGCTTATTCCTAACAAATTGGTTAGTTACTACTTTTCAAATTTTCATAAAAAATAATGAAAATTCTCTTATCCTTCACATAATGATACTTAGGTTAACAGCTTGTAGCTGATCCAACCTTCTTTTGATGAATAAAGATGAAAGCAGGGTAGTTACAGTATTTTAAATGTGACATCCTAATCTAAATGAAAATATTTACCACCTCGAAAGTGTCTGGGAGAGAGAGAACAACATACTATCTTCTAATCACTTCTTTCACAACATAGCAATATAAACTGAACAGTTTTGGATCATTCTAGAATTAATGAAGTTAACTTAAAAAATAGGGTGAGACATTGTTTGAAAGATGCCTTCCTGAAAGAAAAGTTTACAAATATTACATTATCAGAACCAACCTTGCTTACCTTCACAGACAGGGCTTTCTTGTTTTGTTTGTCAGACAAAATATTACCTGTGTGAAATAAGAAGCAGAACTGTGATCTAGATACTTTAACATTTTAGTTTTTAATTGTTCATTAAAAGTGTTAACACAACAAGATGCTAATAAAAACATATCCCAAGATGATTTGCAATGTGTTTACACAACTTCAGTAAAACCTTCACAATAATCTTTCATACATCAACTACTTCTCATTTCTTGTGATACTTGCTTACTTTCACTGTGAATACACAGAACAATACCCATCAACTGAGCCTCATAATACTGCTAAGTGCTTCTTGTTTCTGCACTCTCAGTAAAAAAAAAAACTCCCTGGTTTTTGCTTATCATTAGCAATGCGTCAGCAATGTGTCATATAAAATGATCTTATACTGAAACTAAATACAATTCCTCTGTGACCAAAGTGGAAAAAGTAGTCTTTCCAGTAAAGCCAGTACAGTAGTTTCTGATAAGTTCTGATAGTTCTTCCAAGCTTCAATTCCCTGGCATTTGGTTTATACGTGCAAATATAAACAGTAATAATATACAAAAAAAATAAGCACATCAAGAAAAGGACTTCAAGAGTTGTGCAATAAAACCCAGCAATTTTAGCAAACAGAGAACAAATAACAACTTACTGCATTTCTTCTTCACAACTTTCCTCAATTTTGCTGCTAAGGACTTTCTGTCTGAACATACAGCTCTTCTGCAACATTAACAGAAGACATTCATTACAAAAGCAGCAACATTCATGGGCGTACCTAAACTATGAGTTTATACACTCAAGAACAGTTTCTGATTCAAAGAATTTTTATTTCATGTTCATAAACCAATATTCTGACTGCTATTAAAACCTAACCTTGTATCCTGTACATCATTTTCCATGTATTAAATGCTGAAGTGCTTTAAAAAGGTTAAGGATAGAAAAAAAATCCATTTACATAACAAAATATAATTTTCTGTGTTAAATCTGAATGGTTAACCCTGCTTGATTTCATGGAAAACTTGTGAAAGGTGTCACAACTGGCTGACATAAATATTAAAAGAATACAAAGAAGAAGTCAAGAGTAATTCAGAGAGGTGAAACAATCACTCTTCTTTTCTAGTAACAGTTAAAAAAAAAAAAAAGGAAATTTACTTTCAGTTATCTTTTCTGTAGTGAAGTCTGATCTCAAGGACTCGGTATACATCATAAACTCAATGAAACAGTGACTTTAAATTATCAGTATTTAGTGACATTTATCTGTGTAATCTCAATCTTCTCCTTATGCAATACAACAAATGTGAGAACCAATTTTTTTCAAAACAGGAACATGATTTCCATACCTTCCTCTCAAATTCACTAGAATGAAAAAAGCTGTAGACTACAGCTGTTTTATGGCAAAAAAAGAACGTCATTAATGTTCATAATAAGGCAAGAAAAAAGGGCTTGCCTATTCAGATAACAAAATATAAGATGGTTGAAACATGTTTTACACAAAATGTTATTTGAAATTAATGATTTTTTTTTTTCCCAAGGAAAACTGACATAAGAGCTACTTTCAGATCTCAAGTAAGAAATACATTGCTCCACACTTGTTGATTACAAGAGTATTTAAGATGAAATTACATCAGCAAAAGTAGTAGAAGCTCAACTACACGGGTGGAAAATAGTTTATTTTTATACAAACTTTTTAAAAATTATTTTAATTCCAGGGTGTACATTCTGTAAGATTTCAACTTAGATTTTGGATAATTCTAATTCGAATGCCCTACATTAAGTGCACTACCAACCTCAGAAATCTTCTCATCTTTGCATGGCTATATTTTTCCTTATTCCAGGTACAGTGTTCCTCCTCTTTCTTTTCCTTTTGCTGTTTTTCTACCTGAATCTGCATTGAAAAAATGAAGTCAGTCCAGACTAGAACTTTAGTAAATACAGGCTTTAAATGTATTCAAGTTCTCTTAAGGCCTACACAAAAATAAGCTCAAACAGAAGGAGTTGGAACTATTCTCAAATCATTGCTTTCTTCATCTCGCAGTTCACAGATTTGAAGATATTTTTCATTAAATGAAGGAAAATGCTTACATCTCGATATGTATATTGACTATGCCAGAGATGCACAGTAATTCCACAGCATCAGAACTCCCTGAGCATTCAGCCTGCCACAGCAAGGATCTCATCTATGTACTGTCCCTCACTGAAAATCTGGTAATGAAATTTTTGACGACAACTCATTGGCTACATTTCCATTTCTTTCACTACACATTTAATATTTCCTTTTTCTAGAATCTCAATGTTGTTACTGTTAAGCTATTAGTGTTCAACTTATGAATATCATGATGCACAAGCTGCCCAGGTGCTGACATCGCTCCCGCTAACACTGACCACTACAGCTCTCAGTACATCTTCCAACTGTCCCTACTGCTCTTTTTCAGAGTAGAGCCCTTCTTCTTTGTCTGCTTTTCACAATGCAGATCTGTGAACAAAACCCCTTCAAACCAGATTTTGGTAAGGCCCTGAAATTCTTCCAAATGAAAACTTGAGTTTATCTGTCTTCAGCTGCTTCTGTGGTTCTTCAGAAATAAAAACACCAGAATGTGCTACATATGGCTTTTGCTGAGAAGGAAGCAGCCGCAGCTGTTGCCTTGTTGCTCTGTAGTTGAGTAGCTGGGGCTCTAGAATCACAAGAAATGGCCAGGAGGAGCCTACTTCCTATGCATGGCCAAAAGCAAAGCCAGCAGCTTCAGAATTACTTGTAACCACAATTTTACCACAGAACTTCAAACTGCGCATAAAAATATCAGCATCTTTCTACTCTTTCTGTTTTCAAAATAGTCTATCGCTATTTAATATTCCTGACTGATAATGCTCTGCACAGCAGTGATTTTCAGAAGAACTGGAAGATGAAAAGATTCAGAAATTTAGGCTAAGCAAGGCTTAGTATTAACTGATTCCTCCTTCATTCATTAGTTTTTGTTCCTAAATTGGAGACCATGAACATATAAGATTTCTCTTAGCTAAAAAGAATATACAAGATCACATGCTTATTAATATAGCACTTGTTTACATAACCTAGTTTAAAAAAAGTACTTGGAGACCAATTACTGTAGTTCTATTCCTGAATATATCAGGAATGTTCAAAAACAGTATGCAGTACCAATAACAACATTATGATTATTATTACTATAAACACTTTGTTTGAAAAAATTAGAGTAATTCCTAGCTCCAAGTACCTAATATAAACATTACAGCTGTAATTATTTCATTAGGGAGTCTTATTTAACACAGATATCAGAATAAAAGGCTGCAGCATAACTCACACATTAATTCAACTGAAGCTATGTAAGAAAAAGCAGGCCCAAAACATACCTTTATCTGATCTTCTAATGCACCAAGCTGACATACTGCTCGAAATGGTCTGCGATCAATAGGACATGAAGCTTGTGTCTGAAAAATTATTTTTCCCATTAAAAAATTTATAGCAAGCTATGAAAAAATCTCAGGTTTTGGTATTTTTATTCAATAATATAGTAGCTAACAGGAAGTTAAATCCCTGGTAGGTAATGCTGGTTTTGTACCGGTGCACAAACGTTGTCCTCATTCCTTAATGCTGAGCACAGAATACTAACAAACACCAGGAACACTAGAAATAAACAGTACATAACTACAGGACGTGGGTGGAGACAGATGTCATACAGAGCAGTTTCACTTCTCAATTTCAGTCCTCTAACAAGTGTGGAGCTCATTGGCACATCTCCTGATGTCTGAGCTATTCAACTTTTAAATCCACCAGTATCTTTTTAACAGAAATCAAACAAGTCATTCCCTGCAAGTCAGTACTGCTTTGATCTCTGCTCAAACTTCCCAACCTTTCTGCTACCAGTGTGTTGTTTTCACAGTTCTCTGCTGCCTATTTAGGACTTTTCATATTTAGCCTTTGATGTCTACTACATTGTGGCACTTCCAATACTGACCCAGAAGCAACAAAACATTAGAAAGTTTCCATATACAGTCAAGAATCACAATGCACTGCTGGTTTATTGCATGTTGCCAGCAAGTGTTCAAGATGTAATTATCTTCCTGTGCTTATCAGTTCCTCCCTCAAGTTCAATGAACAACAGTGCAAACTGACACTCTATTATTTAGTAGCATTGGCAGCAATGTAACTGAAAAAAAAGAACAAAAAACACCACCAACAAAAGTCCAAACAGCCCACCATCCAAAAATTCACATGAATGGAGGTAAAAAAGCAGAAAGACGACGACCAGAGTCAGTCCTCTTCCACACCCTTTCCTATAATATCACAAAACTGGACAGATCAAAAGCAAACACAGTAAATGTATAAGTGGAGCAGAGATGTTAATTGAATGCACTACTTCTCCCCTTTTTGCAGTCTATGGAGAGAACTGACTCCCAAGTTTAAAATAGCTCAAGTTTCACAAAACACTTTGCAAAAGAGTGAAGCAGAAGGGTATTTTATCCTACAGTTACATTCAGAATAATAAAATATTAATAACAATAGAAAATTCAACTGAAACTCGGTGACAAAATCCACTTTCAGAGAAATCCGTATGAAAATAGATAGTAGCTTTTGCTGCTACAGAATCATTTGTTCATTTTAATTCCACATACACGACTGTCAGTTGTCCCCCCCCCTCTTCACTTTAGGGGCCATTAGCAGAGCAGTTCTTAAGTCTTAAAAAAAAAACAAGAAAAAAAAAACAAACAACAAATACAAACAGAAAACTCAACATAAAGCCTTCAGCTCTTATTAATTCATACAAGAACCAATATATGAAGTGTATTTTTTCCACTCTTAAGAGAACTTTAACCCTACTTTTTATTTACGCAACTAAGATGTAGTGTTACAACTGCATGAGCAGCTATGAGAAACTCGCATGTGAATTCTGCCCTGAAGTTCAGTGATGAATCTCTAGTCTTTTCATCAGGACTTTTCATTTTCCAGTTGATTCTCTTCCTTTCTCAACTTCAGAGTGCTCAACTTCCTTATGATTCATGCAACTCAGTCCCCAAACCTTGAGCATTTGGACAGCTTCCAATTTCAATTGAAGTAGACAGAAAAGTTAAATTGAATTTAGAAAAAACAGTTAAAAAAAACACCAGATACGATACTTGCATGAACTAGTTGTTGAACAGGATAAGTTAAAGTCCTTACCTCCTCCTTACAAAACTCCACTATTTTATCCCAGCTGAAAGCTATTTCCCCTATTGTGGGATTTTTGGTCGTTCCTGCTGTGTTAAAATTAGCATACTGGGCAATTAAGCAAGATCCCTAAGGGCTCAAATTACAATAGTTTCTGTGAACATACAGCTGCCCTGCGCTCAGCTGGCATATCCAGCAGTATGAACATACTGCAAACTTCTCAGTAGGTACTTCCATTCATACACATATCTATGACTATCAAAGAGAGGAGGAGGCACAGTTTTCCTAGTAATTCCTGGTCCCATTTCTGGATTTTGGTTAACTTAAAGTTCAGTTTTTGTAAGATGATCTGTTTCAACATTGAATTTACACATGAATATTAAGTTATGCTCACAAGTTTACATCATGGTAAGTTATGTTTATTCCCAGCAATGACATATCATAGAATGCTAAGTGTTAGTAGCAGCAGTTCAAGTGACAAGCATTTTTACTCCACTAGGAAAGTGTTCACTTTTACATGACCAGTATTTCCTGGAGAAGTGCTTAACAGTTACATATGGTTATAAGAAGCAGAAAGAGAGAAAAACAATCTGGAAGAATCAAAAGCTACAGTTAAGCTCAGATATGTTCAGAAAGACCAGATATTGTTTCTACTCCTACCCACTTGCTTTTCATAGCTCTAGCAATATCTGACAGTTTGCAAAACGTCTCAAGAGAATTCCCAGGAAAAATTCCAGAAAGACAGGACAGACAAGTGCACCACTGCCCTGTGCTCCCCAACAGGGTATAACTGATAGCAACCATGAAGAAATCCAGGTTTCTTTGTTTATACTACACTTTTGTATGAATGTGTCAGTGGAAACGGAAGCAAAAAAAATTCTGTCCTTTTTCTCAATAGTGAGGCCAAATTTATGCTACAGGAAGAAGTTGGGGGGTAAGAAATGATGGCTACACCTTTAAAATAAGAAAGTATGAAGAGAGGTGGCCTTCTACTCATCCCTATTGTTATTTCTGAAAAGATGGCTCAGTAAACAAAGGTGACAAGACATCCTTTTATTCAAGGCAAGTCAGCCCTTCCTCTCTGCTGAGTTTCTATCAAGGAAACATTATGAACAACAATGAATGTACACCATCCTTTTGGGGGGAAAATACTTGAGAAAAACAGCCATTGATACAGAATGAGTCCACACAGTAGCTGTCACTTCTATTGTGCAGAACAGGGCGCGTATATCACAACCTGAGAAGAATTACAATTCCATACAACCTCATAATTTAACACAGATATCTAAAACTTGGAACAAAAAAGAACATGTAAATATTGGCTGTGTGGTTATATTAAATACAAGTCCTATTCCCAACACTACTTAGAGAAGGTAACTCGGCACGCTGTTAAAAATACCTGTTTTACCTCTACATGAAACCACCTTGCAGCTTTCACATGTGAACTGCTAACTCTGCAGCAATCCCTTCTCTCACCTAGCCTGCGACATCTGAAGAATTATCTTCATAAAGCACGTAAGTATTCACAGAGCCTGTAACTCCCTGAAAAGCACCTGCACTTCTGCACTTGTTCTTAAGTTCTCTGAAAATACATTCAATGGTATTTTAATTGCTTCTGATGATCCTCTAACAAAATCCTGCTTTAGCTCCATAGGTGTAACCTGGTATTCAGTGTTCCTTAAACTGCTACCACAAAACAGCAATCTCTCATCTGAAAGAGAAAGCGTCCCTTATTTGTAACAGCATCACATCAAACAGCATTTGAACAAAGTGATGAAGACAAAGGCTGAAGCAGTTACAGGTCTTGGGAATTTTTAGAAAGTTACTCAAACAAGTTCAAATTAACCCAAATAGTTCCGAAAACATTCCTCAACAACTCTGCTTCCATCTTCAGTGATACAAGACACCAAGACATAACATGCAGTGAGAGACATCTCTTTACATTTGGATGAAAAGATGACATCAGGAAATACACCTGTATTTTCTAGAAACAAGTCAGAACCCAGGATGATTTTTTTCAGTTTACATAAAAATAATAATAATAAAAACTCAAAGCAACAAACCCACCAAAAAAAAAAAAAAAGCTTCCAAAGCTTCTGTAGCCATGCTTTAGAAAAAGTACTGTAACTACTGAAGCTATTTTCTTTTTTTTTCAAAAATATCACTGCTGTAAATGAAGATACAGAGCACATAAGAACAGAGATTCCAGTCTCAATATCTAATCAACACACTAATTAGTTACTATGTAAATAGCTGTTTTTTCTCTACTAAAGGCATTCCAGTTGGGAGCTTCTACTACTTATCCAAAATAATCATTTGTTGCTTTTATATCCCATATTATATTGACAAGCACTAGTGGAATAGTGGCTGTCTTTAGGAAAGGATAAAATCACTTTTGACCTTAAGGATTTGTGAAATTACGATGAAGAACTATTATATCACTGTACTTTCTTTGATGCTATCTTACTGGGAGAACTTGAACCCAAGCTCAAAGCCATTCACACGGTTTTATGCTGTACTTCCCTAACAGATTTGTAAGCTGTTGCATGAATGTACTTCACTCGATAAATCTGCCAAGAAAAAGATGTATCAGAGAACATGTAATTTGAAAAGAACGTGTAATTAGGAAAAAAAGAGTCTAGGTTTTCCACAATGACTTTAAAAAAAGTTTTTCCTCAGATCCATGGCCTATTATTCATGACCTCGATCAAGAAGCTTTTTTGTTATTTAAGTTTTCAGGCTTAGAGTTTCTTTGAACACACTGCATACTCAGTTCATGCATATAACCCTAGTACTGCCCACACTGCTTTGCACTGCAGCAGATTACTGTGGAACATGATGCTGCATTAGCTGCTTTCTCCCCATATTCTTTTGTCCTTGGGACAAAAGAAATCCAGATCAGAAAGAACACTAAGAATTCCAGTTAAAGAACACTTCAAAATAAAACAAACAACAAAGTAGTAATGACTGTTGTAAGATTAGAACACCTGCTAGAAATGTAATGCAAGTGAACTTTGTGCAAATTGGTTTGGGTTTTTTTGCTGTTGTTTTTCTTCTTTGGAAAGATGTTGCACAGAGGCTGTTTGAATGTGCCCCAAAGCTTTGGAGAACTTACAGCTAAATGTACTCCATTTCCAAACTCTCCAGATACGAAAAAAATGAATGAGAGAAGGCAGGAACAAAGATTAGGAGAGAGATGCTTACTAGGGAAGGGCCATTAAAAAATAAATAAATAAATAAATAAATCAACATATCTCTTGCACAGTAATGTTGATAAAACAGAAAACGTTCAATCTTTTTTCAACTCTCTTCCTCTCATGATTGCTCATAAGAAAAATTCCTAGAAGAGCAATTATTCAGCATATTTATTAGCACTCTGAAGAACAGAAGGGAAGTTAAAACACCTACAGAAGAGTAAATGTTTTATGTCCACTAACTTAGAACTGTCACCTTTGACTAGAATACAGAACAGCGAAGAGCTTTCCTTTAATGCATGCAGGTAGGAGAACCTTGCTGCTACACAAGCTGTCTTAGTGGAGCTGATTTTGCAGATACTCTTGTTATCTGATAGGCATAAATACTTAGACAACCTCCTTTACGCTTTATTTAAATGCATTCAGACCTCTCCTAGAAACTAGAATATGGGCTTACCCATCTACAGTTTTGACCTGCTTTTACTAGTTGTATGAGACAGGGAACATGCACATAGTTACTTCCCTTGATGTAACACAACTGTACTGATGGTATTTGAAGACTCTAGAGGAGTTTTTATGTAGGCAGAACAGTATTATCATGCATGTATTCCTTATACTGAAGGTAACCCTTACACTTTCCTTCAGCACTCTCGTTGAATGCCAAGTCAAATGCCTAAATCTGAAGCTAAGGCTGTTAAAGTTCTCTCCACTCTGTATGATTGTCTAACAGTCATACTGAAAGACAAGAGCCTCAAGCTTCAAAACCTATGTTAGTAAATTATAGTGTTAGCTTACAGAGGTGAGTGACAGCAGGCACAGAATGAATGACACACTAATCTTTGCGTGCTTACTGAGAACACTCCCTGCCACTTCACCTGTCCAGGAGCAATTAGGAGGGAGAGCTCCAGTTAGCATGGTCAGAGGCACAAAAGATGACATTCTAATAGCATAGGAGAGTTTAACTAACTAAACTGCAATGCTGCTAAATATTCATGTTTAGTCACTGGGAGTTAATGTATCTAGTGCTCTGTGGCAAATATCATATTTTAGGCCTTCATGGAATCAATCAGCAGTTATTCACTTAAAAGGAACAACAACAACAAAAAACAACAACCAAACATCTTCTTTAAAAGTAAGATTTCAGAGCAGTATGGCTGCTGACTGCAGTAAGAAAACCTGCTGGTACAGCACACATCCCTGTAGTTGTAATACTGGAAATCTTCCACAATTAGAAAAGCAAAATTGCAAATACCCTTACCACCTGCCTAAGCTACCCCATTTTCACTTAGGATCTACATGGGCACATATAAAAGCCATAAATTATCAGAAAAAACAATGATCATGTACAATTTGATTATGTACAATTACATTTCAAACTAGTTGCAACACAGGATAGAAAAATATCCAGCTTGTACAGAGATTGCTAGCAAGGTCATTGAATATATGGAGTACAGTTGTAGTTACACAACAGCACAACGAGAATGTCAACAGCAAGCAAAACCTTTGAGAGTTTTAGGCTTTTTATTTTTAACTGTTCTCCAGTGCTCACAGAAAAAGTAAAATTCTCATGAAACCTATTTATATTCAAGAAAGAATATTCACTCCTTAAACAGCACCTGGCAACATATTTTTAAACGAGTTTTGAAATCTTAACTATTCAAAAGGACTTAAAATGACTTTTGTTAATTATTTAATTCTTGATTGATCATTAACAAAAACTAGAAGAGAAAGCAAGTCTTATGCAACAAGTTTCTCAAAAAGGAAAGAACTATTTATTTATGTACTATTAACACACAGCACCAGCACACTTCAAGTGGACACATGCTTGTAATTTTTTCTATCAGTCCAAGCTATAAAACCTCATCTGTTTCTCAGATGCAAAGCCTCTTCACGTTTATCAGAGAGCTTTCAAAACACTTAAAAACTAAATTATCACTTTAGGCAATGCAGCTTCATGCACTGAACAGGTACAGAATCAGAGGAAGGCCAGGTGGTTTTACCCATTAGATGTCATATGTGGAAAGAAGTAGCATAAGCCCTATCTAGCATTAAAAACAATCCCCCACTATTTCTGCAGCATCAGATCCAGTTCACCTGTAAACTCTAAAGAGCAGAAGTTACTTTTATTCTACTTGTATAGCATTTCATGCCAAGATAAATTTGACATGACAAAAAATTTAAGAGTTGGCAAGTGAATGATACAGAACAAAAAGTTGTTCTCCTCATTGTCTATCAGATGCTTTTCAGCACACCATGAACACACTGGAATGCAGCAGCAAGCCTTCAGCCTACTGTACTGCTTTCTCTGTAATGCCACTGCTGACTGCATAACAACTGCCAGCTAAGGAAGTCAGGATAAAATTGTGTATGAGAATTTCCTGTTCACTGCTCAACAAAAGCATTACAATGAATCATTTGCAGGACAGAAAATCTGACAACAGGAGACTTAAGTTTGTCACTTGCTCTGTGATTACAAACCAAATTTCATCTAATAATTTTTGATAGTCTGAAGCCCACATAAAATCTTAAGAAACGACCTGTGGTATTGTCTACTACCTTTGGTAATAAAAAAACCCACAAAAATTAAGGTTAAAAACAAGTTAAAGAGTACATATGCATACTGCACATATAGGTACACACACAACAACCTTTCTAAAGGGTAAACTAAAATAACCATTTACTGCAGAAGAAATCTACTGCAAATAAAGTGTCTTCTATAACAAATAACCTACTCAAGAGCACAAAAGAAAGACAAAATAGCAACCCAAAGACTTAATGCATTGTTTACAGGACACATATGATGAAAAAGGATTAAACAGAAAGGATGAAAAAGGGGATTACAGAATCACAGAATGGACAGGGTTGGAAGGGATCTCAAGGATCATGAATCTCCAACCCCCCTGATACATGCAGGGCCATGAACCTCCCCATTTAATACTAGACCAGGCTGCCCAGGGCCCCATCCAATCTGGCCTTCAACACCTCCAGGGACAGGGCATCCACAACCTCTCTGGGCAGCCTGTTCCAGCACCTCACCACTCTCTTAGTATAGAGCTTCTCCCTGATGTCCAATCTAAATCTTCCCTCCCTCAACTTAAAACCATTTCCCCTTGTCCTGCAGTTATCTACCCTTTCAAAGAGTTGATTCCCCTCCTGTTTGTAGGCACCTTTTAGGTACTGAAATGCTACAATGAGGTCACCCCGCAGCCTTCTTTTCCCCAAGCTGGACAAGCCCAGCTTGTCCCTCACCCTGTCTTCATATGGGAGGTGCTCCAGTCCCCTGATCATCTTTGATTAAACAAAAGGATGAACAAGAATTTGTTCAAACAAGCAACTTTAAGGTTCCAGCCCTATTTACAAAGGTACAGCTCATCTAGTTACTAAATTATATACTTTTAAAAATTTTGAATATCACTCAAGCCTTTTAGGAGTATTCTAGAAAAGTCACAGTGTTATCAGACTTGTATGGTAAACTAACACGAAAACCAACTGCCTTCAGTCCTAAGAATTCACAGGGTGCGAAGAAGCACATAACTAAATAACATTAAGCTGACTGACACTGCAGTGTTATGACATGTACATAAAACTGATTTTTCAGACAGCCATCATTGCTTTTTACTGTTCCTTAAACTCCCTAAACTATTAATAAGGCATGATGCCCAGTAAAAGCCTAACACAAAGTACTACATCGCATTAAGCAGAAAGTTTCCCACTGATCTATTTACAAGCTGGTCAGACACTTTTGGATGGAGTTAGACAGTGTAGCTTTCTTTCTTAAAGAAAAAAAAGAAATCTATAACTATTGGACATAATACAGCTTATAAAACAACACACACTTTGCCTCTCAGTCTTACCTCAGCCCATTTAAGAATACAAGTCATGCAGAAAGTATGACTACAGTTCTCAGGAAAACCAATCTCTTGTTCCAGAAGGCAGTTCAGACAGATGGGGCATGTGTCACCATCGTGTAATAAAGTAGAACAGGAACAGCTTTCTTCCATTTCTTCACCTGTTATTATTAACATTCACACTTAGAATTTTTGTCTGTTTTTGAAACAAAGTCCTTGTAGATTTCAGTAATAAGGTAACAAAATACAACTGTGCAGAGAGAAGCAAATTAATTAGATTTTCAAGTCTACTGCAGTCAACATACTGACAAGAGGAAAAGTTACAAGCATATGTTCCAGGTGAAAAATATCATACAACATTTCTTAGAATGCTGGGCCATGATTTGCCATTAAAAGAAAGGAAATTTAGCTCTAGGATTACTAACAAGAATTAGGAAAGCATCACAAAGTATTTTCCACTGACTACGAAGTCATTTACTCACTGCTCTTCTGAAAGCTCCTCATATAATTGCATTGTATCCACAAAATAAATTACTCCAGCATATCATCTATTCATTTCTGTATATACAGACTTTACCTTCAGTTTTCTACTTTAAGAACTACTTTAATCCAAACATCCTCAGATATTTACCTAATAATGTACATTTAACAAAAATTGAAGCATTTTTTATTTAAATTGGAAATACTTTTATAATACCACTGAGACAAGAACTTTTTTCTTCAACGGCTTTCACCCTAAGTTAATTATTTTTTTAATAACGATTGCCATTCCTATTTTTGTCCTGCTACTAGAAATCAACAAGTAAAATCCAGAATTCACACAAAAGGATAAGTGCACTTTAAAGGCTGAAGAAAAATATTATGTTGAAATAGTGGCTACACTTACACAACTTCTGAAAGAACAAGCAGCATACCAAGTGAGGAACAAATTTAAAATCTAACCTTTCACAGCTTGAACTTGAATAATATAACTTGGATGCTTTATACATAGACTTTACCTTCCATGCCTTCATGCTTTTGACCTTCTGTATCTTGAATGCACTGCTTTTTGTTCCTCATCTTCTTAAAAAGTAGTCTGGAAAACAGAAACAGCTTACACAGTTCATTTGTGGTGCAACTTGAAGATAAAAATGACCACTATGGATATAATGAACCCTCTCAATTTCATTACACTTTGTAGAGTAGAAACACACAACATTAAGAGTCAGATACACATCATTTACAGTCTGTTTGCTTTTTATGAGTATCATTAATGCTGTCTAGCAACTGCTACTTCCAACTTGAAAACTGTTTTTTTCCTGCAACAAATGCAAAGTTTTTGCACATTTTAAGACTTCCAACAGTGCTTTAACTTTTGAAAGTTAAACACATTACTAAATTTCTATTCAAACCACATTTAATACTGCAGACCTGAGGCAAACTTATTGGTATTTCAAGCCCTACTCTTTAATGGCTTCACTAGAAAAAGCAGCAGAAAAGCTGAGAGCACCACCATCACATCTGTCAGCTAAATCTCTATGTTGCCCAAAAGCTACACTGGTTTTTGCTTTACTACCTGGATACCTGGTAGTGGGAAAGGCAGAATTTGCCTCCTAAAACTCTTCTTCTGATGGAGTCTTTACTGTTTGATCTTTGCAGTAGCAAGTGTTTTAATGACCCCTCTTAAAAAAAAAAAAAAAAAGAGAAATGAGATGATCACAGATAGCCATTATATAACACATTCCCTGCTTTTGTAGACAGACCAAGAAGGCAGGGCTCTGATCTTTGTGTCCCAAACATAGTCCACTAAAGAAATGGTCAGAACTGTGAAACTAATTAGAAATCTGTAGTTTGAATTCTAAATGCCATCAACGTTCCCATTAGAAACTATTTCTTAAGTTCTTCCCCAAAGGGTCACATTATTCAAGTCGGCTAGGAGAAGAAACGAAAAATTAAAAAATCTAAGGAAATGAATAGTGGTGCATTTATAGTAATGTAACAACTGACACATGAAGTCATCACACTTCTGCTTCTTTTCACAACTTTCTTTATGCCCAGTAAACAAAGTGCAATAATTAGATATAGTCATCCTCCAGTAACAGCCTATGGACCAGTCTAAACAGAAGTAACACCTGTTTATTTTAGGAGGACAGAAATCAAGATGGTTCAACAAGATCTCCAGTAAGCAAGCACAAAATAATGCCCAACACTGGTGTATTCTTGTTGCCTTAGGGGACAAAACTCAGGAAACATCTGTATATAATCTCTCAACTTAGACACATGATGAATTTAAAGGAGGGATTTATTTTGACTGCTCTGTTTATATAAAACATTGTGTGTTAAAGAGAATGTCTACTACTTCCATTTTTATTTAATAACTCAAAACAGTTACAAAGCTGAAACAATAATCAGATACACATGCAATGTATGGGAACACACTTGGTTAAGAAGGTGACAGTAACACCCTTTACTTCCAAGGTCTTTAAGAAACCTTGAAAGGTTTAAGACTCTTCCCTCATATTTTTATTGAAAAGTATATTTTTAATGAAAAAAGCATCCTGACAATTAGACATGTGCAAAACCAAAGTTTAGTAAGTCATGATAGGACACAGAGCATCCTCTAGATATCTCCATATGGACCCACCACGATCTGTGGACTGTTGGGAGGCCAACATCCAACTGCTGATGAACATCTTAAGAACTTTTGCCCTGGACCATCCTAGACATGGACTAAGGAAATGGCATTTCCAGTGGCAGCTGAATGTTTGAAAAGCTTTTCACCTACCTGTATCACTTAGTCTATCACAACACGTATCCCTTAAGAAGAAACTATTAGGTGTTTCCAAGTGTACATCAAGAACCTTCCGTTCTCTTTTATTTGGAAAAACTTGCAAGTTGTCTAAAGTACCTGAAAGGTTGACTTGTTTCAAGTGACACCTCAGTAATGTTGTTTGCCCTTCAATAAATGAGGACTGAACTGGGAATCTGGAAGCATTTATCCTGGCTTTATTCCTTTCTGTAGAACTTCCTAAGAACAGAACCAACACTCAAAGGAGACCATATAAAGAGGATCTTTATTTTCAGTCTGCTCAATTTGCACCTTGCCTTCATTCACAAGAGGAATGTCATAGAACCAACAATCACGAAGCGAAAGAAAGAAACCAACTCTAACAAAGAAACAGCTCTTCTCTATAGGAAGTTTAAGTCTACTCATGTAGACCCAGAGTCTAAAGAATCAGAGCTATTCAGGCAAGGAGACACTGCTGATTTAAAAAGTCCATCCAAACCCTCTAGGGATACAATTATCCAAGACAGTTAATCTAAAAGCCGGCTGCCACCAAAAGAAGCAGCTCTGTTTCTCACTAACAGTGATAGTGAGCAGGCTCAATTAACTAAGAGGCAGACGTGCCAAAGAAACAGCAAAGAACAGAATGGGTGAGTGAAAAGACAAAACAGGACCGTCTCTTTTGATGGCAGCAAGGTGCTGGAATAACTAAGACTTGTCCAACTTTCTCCCCTAAAAGGAAACACCAGCATGGCCAACTCAGTCGGGAACTGGAACTGGCTCCCCAGGGCACTGATCATGGGACCAACCCTGCTGGAGCTCAAGTGGTGCTGCTCATCAGAATCACAAGCATCAACACAGCTACTGGGACAATCCACACAAACACTGGCATTTCTGCAAAGTAGGAAAGGTATCAGGTTTGACCAAAATCCCTAAAACCTAGGGATATTTATTCTCTTTCAAATATCCATCAAAAACACACTGAAAAAGTTACCCCATATACATGAGTACAGACTGTGCTATCACACACAGCTGAGCCTCACCTTATTAGGAAGCTCATAAAGTGCCAACTCTGCACCACTGGTACATTCAGGGTGACCACTGACAACCAAGATGGCCAGTGCTTAGGTAAACCAAGTTTGCAGTCTAAGAACTAAATGAAGCTAGGCTTGCTAGCCAACAAGGAAAAAAGAATAATTTTGGAAGTTGTAACAGCGCAGTCTCATTTTATCTGATGTATATATTCACAGCTAATACCTAACCTGTAATTCAGAGCTATATTATATCCCTTCTAGTTCTTCAGCCAAACTTCTCAGGTTTGTAAGAAAAAAACCCTTTCTACTCTGATAGGCAACAAACCATGCTATAGTCAAGTCTCTGACAGCTCTTGAGGATGCAGAAGTATTGAGGACAAAAGCCACAGAGCTTCCCTAGGCACTGGAATAATGCTGCTGCAATAAAACTGCCACTCATAACACTGCTTTCCAGAAGTGTTCTGAATCAAAGACAAATCCCTAATCTTTACAGAAATTTACAGCTTGGCCCACAACAGCTCTAAGATAGAACAAATGCTCCCTGGGTTTAATGCATGTCATGGAGCCACAGTTAATTGCCCACATGCAGAAGCCAGTTCATTCAGAGTAACAAGGATGAACAGAAGGTTCTGAAGACTAATACAAGATGAAAACTATATTCACAGAAGTTAAGACTGTTTCATTTTGCTTTCCAAAACTATTATTTTCAATACAAAGCAATAAGCATTGTACTTGTTCCATATGCTGCTGACAGAACACTCAAGCACAGTGATAGACATAACAGAAACAAACAAGCAATGGGAAACAAGCCACGTAACACTCTCCCACAAAGCGTACAAGTCAGCAATAAGGAGTTTCTAAGTAACCTGTGACTAGATTGTAAATCTCAATTTCACACAAATAATAGGAACTAATTGCAGGTTAGATACTACTGTCATGATGCACATTAGCTCAAGCAACTAAACCAAATCAGTGCTAACTAGTAAGTCTGCCTCTTGCTGCTGAAGGTCCTTAGTCACACGTACACTTCTGCACCCAGAAGGGTTAGCATTACATACCACAGCCAGCAGAAATGGCTCAGTCATTTCCAAGAACAGTTAAAAAATGCTTTTTTTCTACCCGCTTGGAAACATCAATATTTTCATGCTTTCCACCAGAGAGTAGATACGTGGCAGTAGGTCACTGAGGCCAAGTATATTCTTGCCACACAAGCAACTCTTCCAAACCCAGCCATGTCAAAAACCTGGAAAAAAAGAGTCTACATTTACTCAAACTTTGTTAGTCATTCTATTTACTTTTCCCCCATAAACTAGATCCGTGTTCAGCATACACTACTAACTTGAAGTTCCTGTCCCATTGCTACACTGCACATGCAACATTCCCACAAGATGAATGAGCATACTTCAGCCAATGCTATGGCAACACAGCAGGACTTGCTGCAATCACTTCTCTGATGCTAAAGAAACCAGGAAGACATCTTTATGTTTCTTACTAACATCCTGAACACGCCCAAGGAGCTGGACTTAAACTGTAGGCATGCAGGAGATGAACTAAAAAGACCTTGCAAAGACAGTGACAACTGGGAAAAGCTAAGGCCTTTCAGCCGTGGAAGGAAAAAGGATGGCAAAATTCATACAGACACTCACACATAAAGCTAATACAACATATTAGAATTATGCAACCCACAGGCTCACATAGCATTTTATGGATTTACTTCAATGGAAACATGCAAAAGATTGCACAGAACCATACCCATGCTCTTGTTAAACAATACAGAACTGAGCCCCCCATTAAAAGTCTGCTGTTCTTTTATTTTGAAGATCAGATAAAGTATTTATGATACCATATGCTCTTTTAGTAGCTATGAAAAGCTGAGTTTCTGTAAGAAGCAATTTCAGCTTACAAATGTTCAGACATTGATTTAAAAGCAAATCAGAAAGACAAAGAAAGTAACATGACCATTCAGACATGTTTTGCCTCACAGAAGCATACTCTTAGAAAAACATTATGTGAAAGCTAAGATGTAAAAACACAGCCCTCAAGATCCTTTTCACTTTGAATAACAGTATTTTATCAGCATAGGTCAAAGACCTCTTATAAATCTTGCACCAGAAATGCTTTACTTTTGGGAAGCAGTGTAAAAATAAAGAGCTTACGAAGGTTTTTATCATGACAATTGAAACTGTTTTGAGCACCACTGTATTTTGCAGAAAATCTCCTATGGTATTTGTAGAACAAGGCATTAGATGCCACTTGAGAAGTAGTAAGACAGATGGGGAGTAAGCAGTTCCAATTACTGTTCACTTGCTTTCACGGTTCTGACTCAGTGATCACTTTCAAGATAGCTAAAACAAGCTAGAAAAACACAGCCAAGAATAGAAGAAGGGATGTGAGAAGGTTTCCTTGATGCTGATAGTGACAGACAAAATGTAACAGAAACTATTTGCCATGAAAGAGGGAAAAGCCAGATGTGAGCATGAAAATCTATACTGAAAAAAATCACAATTATATTGACCCAGAGAGAAGGATATACTTTACCCTCCTTGCTGAGATATCTTAATTTGGCAACATCTTGAAATCCTAGGGAGTTCAGACCTAACAGACAGCTTTTCTTCAATTCAGGGGACTTGCAATTACCTTTTGTTACACTTACCCACCCTCAGGGGCCACCACCTTTTGCGTCACAAGTAGCAAACTAAGAACATTCAAGAAAAGCGAAACTGCACAGAAGCACTTACTCAGTAGCTGTATAGAAAGCAGAGTATTTCCTCCTCTCCTTCCTGGATCTTTACAATCACCCAAGTAATTTGTTCAAGCAGTCCAATTAACACTGCTCATCTGTCCTGAGAACACAAGCACTGAGTATCACTATGGCTCAGTTCCATTTCAAGTTCTCCACTTCTCCCGTGGAACGCCGAAGGTAGAAAGAAGCATTCACTGCTGCAGCACTGTGTTGCTGCTAAAGGTATGGATGGACTTATGTGAAGACTTGAAATCCACCAACATATGGATCCATCTTTGTTGTTGCTGCCAGTCAAACAAAAGCCAAGCAGGAATACAAGTGTTAACTCACTTGATGCCAGCAATAATTCCAAACACTAGGAGCATCAGCCAAGTTAACTAACTCACAGATAGTACTTCTGAAGGAAGATTCACAGTTAAGTGGTACTTAAAGACAGAGCAAGTGCATTTTAGTGGGAGCTCGCCAATCCTTACATCAAGTGCACTAAGACAGACGTTACTGCTAGTGCCTCGCAGAAGTGATCAGATACTGCAGTTTACCACAGCATTTGGCTTCAGAAAACTGATTCTAGAAGACTCCTTCAGTATTCTACTTGATACCACAGAAGTGAAGAAATATGAAATAATCTTAGAAATGTAAGAATGCCACCAACCACAGAACGAAATTAAAACATTATCTGCACACATTTGCTGTGATGGTAGACACTGCACACTGGTTGTTCCATGTACCAAACTGTGACCTAATGCACAGACCATTAACCAAGTTATCCTCAAACCTCTTCAACCACAAACACACCTTTTGGTGCAGACAAAAACTTGCTTTACAGTAGACTGACCAAACAATCTCTAATGAAAGCGTTCCAATACCCAAAAAGTTAAAATTCAAACTGTGTGTTCTCCAGGGGAGAAAGAAAGGTAACACCAGTGTTTCATCAAGACGGTTTGTGAGAAAGCATTACTCCATAAAAAGAAAATGGATGAAAATATTCACTTTAACACTACATACACAAATATGCAGATACTCATATACCTAAGGCTGCAAGCATAGCTGTTCATAGCTGCATCTAATATAAAATATATTCTAATTTTCCTACTTCATAGATAATGAAACACAGTATTTCGATCATCCTTTGTCATATCAGTTAACAATTCTGCCAGCCAAAAAATGACAGCTTCCACATTTGGTTAAGTTTAATTAGCTTCTCTTAAGACTTTTAGTTGGAGAAACAATCAGAAGTGTCATAAATATAAGCTGTAGAAAAGCAGTACATTCCTAGAAGCAATGGGTTTTAAAACAAACAAACAAAAAAATAAAACTCCAAAATACAAACCTCCTCACAGGGAGGAACTGTTGGTTGGACCTGGTATGGGCTACTGAAATACAGATTGTGCATATTCAACCTTTGAGAGTCCCTCCAACAGTCACTAAGCCTCTGGCACACTGCCTAGCCTATGTGTAGAGATGGGATGGATAACTGCAGGATAGCAGAACAGCAACTTTAAGGAACAGAAAGACAAACAAGCATTTGCCTTCCAGCAGCTGCAACCCTCCAGTTTATTTCATGACCACAGCCAACTTCCTATTCAAAGGAATCATCCATATTTGGTCCAATCCTCAGAGCCAGAAAGAGATGTTCACAGCTTGTGATAGCCTCACCACTGGCTTAAAAATAACCACCATGCTCATACCCTCTCAGCGCGAGCTTACTGTTCTTCCAGGTAAGGCAGGTACAAACAGATGAAATAAAGTGTACCCATGCTGCTGAAAAGCCATGAACCAGTCCTTGTTCTGAAGTATTTTTTTATGTAACACGTACATTAGAAACCTCTGAGATTTATGGCTACAGGAGAAACTTTAAGGCATATTATCTCCACATTTGCAAAACAGGCAAATAAAGACAATAAGAACAGTTCTGATATACATAAAAGCTATTTTCCTCTTCAACAGTTTGGCAGATTAACCATTTTAGAATTCATTCATACAAACTGTTGCACTGAAGAATCAGTTCTGATGTCAGTAGGAACTGGAGTGCAACTTATTTACAGCAGAACTGAAGCGGAAAGACATTACATAGCAAACTTCAAATAGGTTTTGCACATTTTACTGTGCTCAGGATGATGGAAGACAGAGCATTCTGCAAAGAATTCCTCTAACAGGTAAAAACACGTTTGTAACCAAAGCACTCCATATATCACGAGCAGAACCATGTACAAGGCAAAGGCCAGAACTCACACTTGTGATGCTATTCAAACTACAGTCAGGTGAGAACAAAAAAAAATCTCTATCTCCTGGATGTTTCAGAAGAGACAGCTACAATAACTACAGAACATAAGCTTACACTTTCACACTAAGGCTAACTCAACAACCATCACATACTGTGTTTTGAGTACTGTACACTGAAGCTCAAAAACCTCACTAAATTCCTAGAGAAGTATTCCCAATCTTGAATATGATCTGAGCCTGAGATAAAGTAGTGATTTCAGATTTACTGTTTACAGAGAAAGTCTGGAAAACACTCTTTCTTAATCTCTCTCTCACCGAAGTGATCTCATGTTTTTGTAAAGACAAATTTACTGTCCATTCTGCCTACTCACAAGTAACTTTAAAGCAAGCGAACCATGGAAAAAATCCTGTGAATTTCTTATTCAGCCCATTTATCACTTCAGAACTCACCACATTAGCTACTGTGAGCTACTGAAAAAATCTGCAAAAGTCCAACATTGTGACTTCATGTAAAAGCCTAAAAAGCCCTTCCTCCTCTCACATCTCATCTCCTCTGAGAAAAACAAATAAAAACCTTAATATTCCCAAAATCTCTACAAGAAGTCACTGGAATCACTTCCAACTCCTTTCCACAGAGCAGGAGCATTTTTTGTGCATTTCTAAATACAGCTTCCCGGTTAAAAATAAAAAGAAATGCTTAAATTTTGATTTAATCGATTAAATCACAGCGTTTTTTAGTCACTTTGCCATTTCGTTCAAGGAAATCACTGCTCACGTTAAGAAGGAAAGAAACTACGGTGAACTGACTAGAGACTTTCCCCATTGCTTTCCCGCGACGAGAAGGCTTGGATGCCCAGTTTCACTAAGCTAAACTACCGCTCCTTATGATCCAAAGAAGAGTTAAGCACTCACTACATTAACGATTCAGAAGCGTAACACGAGCCACGAAGCTAACAGGGCTTCCCTTTAAGGCTACCAAGCCCCAAATCCCCGAGAAGAGTTATTCAATCAGTAGAGGCGTTCCCATCCGTCCCATAATTACGGCTTAAGCAACCGCATCGCTTTCTTATCAGAAGGCGGTTCTTTCCGGCGGCAGAGCGCAGGGACTGCTCTTAACCAACCGCTCCGCCCTCCCGCCTTATCGCGTTCTCGCTAACAACTCGCAGCCGACTCGCCGTGCGACACAAAAGCATGATGGGAGGGAAGGGAGCAGGCTCGGCCTTACCCCGGTCGCCCCGTTTCAAAGTTACCAATGCGGAGACGGGCTGTCAGCGCGGCGCCCGCCGACGCCGCTCAGCGCTCGCCGAGAGCCGCGCGCCCCAAACGCGTCCCGCCGCTCCGCGCGCGACCGGAGGAGCCGCGCCGCCGTCGGTCCCTCCACGCAACTTCCGCCGCCGCGCGGCACAACGCGCGCTCCGGGCCCGCCGGCGGCACGCTTCCCGCCGGACGGAGGAGCTTTGTTCGCCGCCGCGCTCCACGTGAGCCCGCCGGGGGCCGCTCCTCCTCCCGCCCCGCCGGTCCTCCCCTCCTCCGGCCGCTCCGAACGGCGGCCCCGGGGCGCCCCTTTGTCCTCCCGAGGCCGCGCGTCCCGTCCCGGCGGCCCCGGTGAGGCTCCGCCGGAGCCGCGCCCGGGTCCCGCCCCCCGGGCCGCGGAGGGAGCGGGCGGGCTCCGAGCGGCGGTGGAGCGCCGGGACGAGCTCGCCGCCCGCCGCTGTTTACCTGGCGCCGCGGCGTCCTCCTGGGCGGTCAGCACCATGGAGCGGAGGCTCCGCTTCCCCCGCCCCGCGGAGGGCCGGCAGGGCAGGGCCGGGCCTGGCTCAGCGGCCGCCGGGCCACATGTCCGCGCGGCCGAGGGGCGGCGCCGGCGGGGGCCGCGCGGGGGCGCTGTTCTGCCGCCTTCCGCTGCGGGAGGAAGTGAGGACTGAACAGCGTGGCGGCGCGGCTGAGAGAGCATTATGGGAAAGGTCCTCCAGAGCCACTTGAAGGGGGGAGGGGCGGGGGGGGCGCGGAGGAACACGTGACTCGCCGCCTGCTGGCGGGCGGGGGCGCCGCCTGCTGGCGGAGCGGGTTCGGGGAGCGCTGTCGGACTGCAGTGACGTCATCTGAGCGCGACGCGGGTGGGGCGGAACTGCTCCTCCTCCTACATATATATATGTATATGTATGCATATGTACGCATATATGCATTTAATAAAAGCGGATCTGGGCAGCTCGTTTCGCCCGCGCGGCCTGTCTGATGGGGCAGAGCGGGGCAAAGTCTCCCTGGGTGTAGCGGGGGTCTCCATGTGCTGGGTTACGTGGCGACGGCAGTTGAGGCACACGAGAGCTGTGGCAGGCCGGGTGCAGGGGCTTTGGGCTGCCAGGCTGTCGGCTGTGTGGTGCCGGGAGGCCACCTGTCTCCGTGCCAGCGTGCTGGCAGCCCCTGGCGTACATACAGGGCTGCTGAGGGCACACCGGACACGTGGCTCCTGCCCCACGCCTCCCGTGCTGAGTGAGGGCACGGCGAAGGGATGTCCGAGCTGGTGTGAGTCAGTGCTCGGTCCAGAGCACTGCTGTGTCCCGAATGACCAAAGTAAGGTCTGCACCAGTGTATGTCCATTGGCAACCTTATTAGTTGCCATGATTACTGACAGAATATTAATTAAGGATTATCTCAGGAGAGCTTGACTTAAGTCACAGCAGCCTGTAGGGACAGTGTGTAAGAGGAGGTACAGAATGAAAGGAAAAGACTTTTCATTAGCAGGCTGCAGAGAAATGTAATAAGAAGCAAGACTCTAGTGATAAGTAGGAAAGCACAGATGGAAGGAGGAAGATAAAATGTCTGAGGTAAGTTTAAGGGTTATTAAGGTTAATGAATGCTATCATTTAAATAAAGGAACAAGCTATTTTGAAGGACGATATGAAAGGAATCCCTGTTGCAGGTTAAGAAAGATGACTTTCAGTACTGCATTTTGAATAGACTGCATCTTGAATGACCCTCAAACCAGGCACTGAAGCAATTAAGAAAGGGAAATAGTAGGGGAAATCAACTATGTCTTTGATTAGCCGGCCACTGAGGTGAGGTTTGGTGGTAAGGAGGGCATACTATACAGAACTGCTGCATGTTTTTACTTATTATTGATTTTTTAAATTAAAATGACTGCTAAGTCACTTGGGATTCAGAGATGCAGTGGAAACTTTGGTATGCACTGTTTCTGTCACAGGTCAAAAAGACCTTGCTGTCATCTGCTCATGGTGCACAGATCATATTGCACAGAGGAGACAGGGGAACTGAAGAGGGGTATCTGTGAGAGAGAGGAATGCAAGAACACTCACTCATCATGTCTAAGGTGCTATCTGTACTTTTTTTTTTGATCTTCTGATTGTGTATCTTACACATGCAGAACACAGGCATCCTTATCCTTTGCAGCACTGACCTTTATACCTACTCATACAACTTCAAAGTATGTTATATTAGTAGAGCTGCTTTGGCCCTTTCTCACCTACCTTTGGAGGTACATATTGCACATACACACACAGTTTACAATTGACAGAAAAACCTGGGACTTTACTGCTGGCAGCCTTGACTTTTTCTATGTGTCCACAAAGTTCCAGCCCTCAGAGGTTTCTGGTCCTGCTGGGGCTGAAAGATAATGCTCTTTATTTGGATGTCTGCTTCCAGAACCAACTTGTCAAGGGTGAGAAGGCAGTCAGTTCTGCTAAAGAAGGAAAGAGTATGAGTTGTGGCTCCTTTTGTCTGCTCTGTGCATGACAAAAAGGAGAGTGAGGAGTTTAGGTTTTGTACAGGACATACAAGTAGAGGGTTGTGAACTCTGATTTTCTGCTAACCTGTGCAATTCCTATGGTATAGGCACATTCATAAATGTATCAGACTGCACTCATTCAGGTACTTGTTAGTATTTTTCTTAAAATTTGAGAAGTGAGAGCGATTTGGCCTGAAGGGATAGATATAATAAAGGTGAACAGGACAGGAAGAGAAGCATTAGGCTGGGACAAAGTTGATGTGGATAGCTAATTGTAAATCATTACAATTTTGATTAGTGGAAAAGCTTGGAGCACCAGATAATTAAGTTGTCTTACTAGATGTATCTTTTGTTAAAATGAGACTCTTATTTCAATAATCTTACAATTTTTTAGCCAAGCTTATGGTTTTTTTTACAATTTCATTTTCTTTTTCACACTTTAGAAATGGTAAAAATGCAGTTTCTTTAGTATGTTTTTTACCTGCTCTAAGCTTAAAATATTCTTACACTGATGCTAGAGATGGTCCATAATGAAGGTAGACACCACAACTCATAAATCCTTTCCTAGACTAAAGCTGGGACTAGTGAAGGCAGCTACTACTACCAATTGTCTTTTGTAGCTAGACTTGAGTATAACTGGTTTTGGTCGTATTTTCTCCCCTTATGTTTTTCTAAGAAAGTTGAGGGGAGGATGTACAATGTGAGAGCAGTTTGGTAGTCATCTCATGCTCAGCCAAGGTCAACTCAGCATAAGGCATAACTCAGCATATGTTTTAGAAGTAGGAGACCCTTTTTGTTTGTCCTGTTTTGGTTGGAGTACTCTGGATACATTTTCAGAATTTCCCTATAGACACAAGAACTAGGAACTTGCCTGGAGCTGATTTTCTTATTGACTGTTCTCTAGCAAGGACAGCTTTCTGTGGAAGATTAAATGGAGCTGTACACATGCTGCAGTTTTGAGAAAGGATAGAAGGCAGATCAGTCAGAAGGAGGACATATGCAGGGCAGACTTTGTGAATGAGGTTGTGACCATTTGGAGAAATGGATAACAGTAAGTATTTCTAATATATAGTGTGACACTTTCAGAAATAAGAGTGGTATTAGGAGGAGGGAAGGACATCAATGATGGCAAGGAGATTTTGATAATAATATGGTGTATCAAGGGGAGGTGGTGGATGAAGATAGCAAGGATGAAGCAGGGCATGGTAAAGACTGGGACTCCTTGGACAAAGTAATAGCTACCCATGAGTGCAGAAATGAGGATTAGCATGAAGAGCAGAGGGGAAGATGGAAATACTTGTATTTTTGTGTTGTAGATTTGAAATATTAACTTTAAGTATTCTTTCTAATTGAAACAATCCTGTGCCATTTACCATTTACATACTGTTGCAACAAGGCAACTGACCTTACTGTTATTACTTTCTCAGCGTAATAAAACAGAACGAGCTTGAATTGGTATTTTTGGAGTCTTGAAGCTTTCAGTACTGCACTGTGTCTCTGAAAGAGATAAAGTGAAAAAGATTTAAAATAACAGATTGTTCTTCCTTTTGAGATTGATTGATGAAAGCTAACAAAATATTCCATATCCAGGGAACGAAAGAACCATTGATGACATATTGTTTTGGCTACCTCTTTTCAGATACTGATTCAAGCAAAGAACGATTCATCTATTTGGTACTTGTATTCTGAGTTTTTGAAGAATGTAGATATATTCAAATGACATTAAAAAAATAAAAGTCTGTAGTGGACTCCGAGAGTTTATTCAGAGCTCATTTACCCTTTCTGCCCCCATGTAGAGTCAGCTACGTATATATTGCTTCTTTGTTCAGTTTGTGCTTCAAGACCTCTTGAAGTGGACTCTCTCTTCCAAAACTTCATCAAGCGAACAAGTTCTCTGGTTAAAAATTTCCGCTTTCAGACTAATCCATAACCTGGATCCTTCCCTTTGCATCTAAAGCCCGAAGTTTTAGTCCTGTTCACCATGGCCACAGGGAACAGATTGTTCCTTTTCTCTTTGTAACAGATTGATTTTTACCTGCTCTTAACTTAAAATTTCTTCTCAGTCTTCTTCTATTTTTATTTTTTATTTTTTGCAAAATAGCATTGAAAAGCCTACTGAAGTCAAGTACATCAGTCTTCTGTCTATCCTGTCCAAAGGGCCTTGTACTCTGCTACACAATGAATTTGTGATTTGCATAACATCATTTGAGTTTGTTTGTATCTCAGTGTCTTTGAAGTACTTACAAGTGGGTTGCCTGATGACTTTTCCCAGACATTTTTTGGAAATCTCTTTTTTTCTACTTTCCAGCAATGAATTTTGATCATTGCTTCCATTTCAGCTCAGCTTTAGATTGTATTTAGATACCATTCAAAAAAACAAACAAACAAACAAAAAAACCAACCCTGTAAATAAGCAATGTGGTGTATCTCATTTTTCTAATAACACAGTATTCTGAAGTCTCTGTCTTTGGTACTTGAATTCTCATTGCTTCTTAGGGAATTTCTAATTTTGATGTTCTGGAGCATATGTGTATATATCCAAGTAAGTAGGTTGTGTGTTCTGTTTGTCAATATGCATTGAATGTTTGGCTGCAATGAGAAAAATATTTCAGTGCTAGAACTTATCATTCTTTTCTAGTACTAAGCTTTTGTTTGATTGAGAGACAGTGGATTTTATTTATTTATTTATTTACATGCAACATGTCTTTGCTTGTAAACTTTATTGTTTGGAAATATAGCATAAATATTCCATGAATAAGAGAATGAGTCAACACGTACTAATGAGGAATTAAAG